AAAAGAGGTCTGGGTACAGAAAATCACAAGTGCAGTGGTGGGCACGGGAAGCCAGAGAGACACCTGCTAGACATCCAAGTGAATAGGCCAGGCAAGCCACTGATAGAGTGGTCTAGAGGTCAGAGAGAGATGGGGCTGGAGACATGGACTTGAGATGCTTCCATTGAGGGTGGGATTGGAAGTCCCTGGACTGGATGAGACAGACTGAATGCAGACAGACAAGAAATGGGTTCCTGGATTGCACCCTGGGAATGCCAGGGTTCAGAGGTCAGGAAGGTAAGTGGGGCACAAGATTGGAAGGAAGAGAAGGGAGGCGGGAGGAAAGGACAGAGAGGCCGAGTGGAGAATGTGCTATAGGAAGGGACTCTGGTCTCAGCCAAATGTTACCCACAGGTCAGCTAAGCTTTGGGCCAACACTGGACCTTCAGATTTGGCCATGTGAGGTTCATTCTTGGCATCCGGAAGAGGAAGAGTAGTCTCCTTGAAAGGTGGGTCGTGGAAGCCCAGAGGGAGCAGGGGGAGGCGAGGCAGCACGAGTTCTCATGTGGATAAGTCTACAGTGAGTTTTGATGAGAAGAGGTGCAAGAATGAAGTAATAACTGGAAGGAAATATGGGGTGGATGAGGGACTTTTAAAGACGTGGTTGCATCACAGTAGGCTTATTAGCTGATGGGGATGACTAGGAGGTGGGGGAGCTGTGATGAAGACAAAGGGGTGTCTACAAGGTGTCATTGTCTGCAGGGGCCCCCAGTGTATTGGAACAGGGGGTGGGACTGAGTGTAGGGAGGGGTTGAGGGTGGGAGGAGGGGCTACAGACTCGGGCCCACCAGGCCTGGGTTTATCTTGTGGGCATCAGGATTCTGAGTGAGGCAGCTGTGTGAAGGGCAGGAATGGAGAGCTTCCATGTAGGGTGGGGACAGGGACAGACTCCGGCAGGAATTAGGGAGATGAAGGGAGAGCGACTTTAATGTGAACCCCAGGGGTAGAGAGGAATGGATAGAGCTTCCTCGGGACCCCCTTCTTGCATTCTAAATACGGCTCCATGGCGTGGGACTCAAGTCACGGAAGACAATGTGGTGCACGTTTGTGTTTTCCACCTTAAGAGGGAAAACTCTGATTTGGAAACTTGAGACTGATCTTTACTGCCCAGCTAGTGTCCACCGTGTGTGTGTGTGTGTGTGTGTGTGTGTGTGTGTGTGTGTGTGTGCACGTGTGTTTACATATGGTTTACTAAAATGAAGTATAATGGACATTTGAGGAAAACACCACAAAATGGTGTCATTTAGGGGTGCTCACTTAATGACTTGAAACTAGCAAACAAACTGAAAATACATTTCTCAGAAGTCATTAAATGCTAGGGAAAGAGTGCAATTTAAGAAGACAGAAAAGTTGCAGCTTAAACCCAACCCAGTTCAATTCCCAAAGTAATTTCACATCAAAATATGTCTGCAGTTGTCATGATCAATCCCATTTAATGTTAATCAGAAATGGCTGTAGATACGTAGAGATAACATCATCAGGAAGAAATACATCTCACATCGCTTTGGCTAGCACTATTGGTTCAACAATACTGAAAAGATTTTTCTTACTCAGAAGTGTCAAGATAATTTATACCCTTTAAAATGCCAGATATGGGAAATGTTGCAACTGATATCATGGAGTATGTAGGACATGCTTTTGTAGAGGATTTGTGCTGAATATTTTTTTAAAATCTATATTTTAAGGGAACTAGTAGTTAATCCTGGCTAAAATGGAAAGGCATGCCACCTAAATTTTCCAGCACTTCTATTACGTCCACAGTCATGGATCTGGTCTCAGCTCAAAAAGGCAATGGCACCGAGGCCACTCCATGGAGCGGAAACTTGACTTGTCCTTGAAGCAGTAGTCTGCCTCCAGCTAGCCCAGGGACAAGCAGGGATCCTTGGCTGTACTCAATATCCCTAAGAAAAGCAGTATCGGGGTGTCAGGAGACAGCTCTGGTTTTGGAACCTGAATGGAGTGTGAGTGCCATGTGATGAGGGCGTCTTGTGGCCCTGCAGGACTCATCAATCACTCACGTAATCACTCACAGAAGGCATAACCCCATGTTTCTGTGTTGTCTTTCAAGTACTTTCAACGAACCCAAATAAAGCAAAGCAAGCTGAGGCTACTCTAACTTTGCAGCAGTCCGTAAAGACAATGTAACTTGAAAGAGGCACTAGCAAGTTCATCAGATGTCTGTGAGGTTCTCCTGTGTAAAGGCCCTTTCTCCAGAAGCTGAGAAAACAGCATCTGTGTTCTATGATAAGACCTCCCTCTCTGTGGCTGCGAACATAGTGTATTTCATAGCCATACGCTGCAGACGAAGCGTTTTTGAGGATAATCTATGGGCTGAGGAGGGATTCCAATTGTTCATGAAGAGAAACCTTGCTGCTGCCCTGGTAGGCATTTTCAGGGCTTTTAAAGAATCCATTTCCTACCATCTATCTCTGATTTTAGTTAATTCAGCAAAGATAATACTGCACGTCCCCAGGCACAGCCTCTATCATACAAAGGCAAATACAAAAGGCAGTTAAGCAGGTCAGAGAAGATAATGCAATTTCTCCAAGGAAAGTATAATTATGTGCAAATGTGTACAGATGCATTTAAACTTTAAAAAATTGGCCAAGAAATGGAAGCTTAGCTTTGGAATTCTTAAGCGTGTGCCCTATCCCATTGCTATCAGAAATGATTTGGTGGCTGTAAGTGGGATTCTGAGCCAAGTAGGTGGTGTTTCACTGGAACTGGCAGAGGATCGTGACTTTATCTCTACATGTGGGGTGAGCCGTGGTAAGCAACACGCACAGAGACATCACTATGGTGGTAGAGTCTCCAAACAGTCCATCATGTATTCAAGTCTTTTGTCTCCTGACAGCCAGGCCTATTCTAATCTGGTGTCAATGGAGAATATTTTCCAAACAGAGAATAGAATAGTTTAGGAAATTGTCCTTGAAACATTAAGATATGATATCCTTTTTCTACTAGTGCATTTGCTCTCACTTCAATTTAATTAAAAAGGCAGCAAGGACCTTCCAAAAATTGGGCACTTAGACATAGCCTAAATTTGAATAATCAAACTGAGTAGAATTATGAACTCCACGAGAAGTGGATCATGAGGTCAGATTTGGTTGCACCAAATAGTTACACAAGTGACTGTCTTTTGTTTTGTACAAAATTCTGGAAGAAGATACCAAGGCTGTTCGTCCTGGGATGAGCTGTGTGAGGCTTGGTGCTTTGTCTTCCTGAAGTGTGCAACTACCGTGGATGTTAGAGAAAAGGAGCATTTAATATTTTTAAATACTGAATCACACTGTAAAAAGTGTGTATGTCTGTGGGCTTCATACCGACAGGAATGAATTTTAACTTGGTAGGGCTTCAACTGTATGCATTTTAATGGTGACGTGAAAATTAGATCAAAGGAACTTTACACTCTCTCAGTCAAAAAGGAATAGCTTCAGGGCCAGTAAAGAATCGATCTGCTAGATGCAATCAATGAAAATGACTGATTTTCTAGAACTGGGTGGGCCAGGCACACATCGATTCTGAGCCAGCATCTTTCAGCTCTAATTTCAGCCCTTTCATGGGAAAGAAAGTGCTTTCAACAGAGTTGGGCCCCACAGCCAGGCACTTCGGGAAAGTGCCAGGAGCTCTGTGCTCTTCTCCCAGCTGCCTGGGGTGCCCACTTCCTGGGAGCCACAGCTGGCTTTCAGCTCGGTAAGTCACCCTTCAAGCCAGATGTGCAGGTCCAGTGCCCAGTAATTCAAAACCTTTTGCCATTTGCACATCGGAAAGCTGCTGTCAAAACCCAGGTGGGGCCTGTGCTCTTCAGGTGCGTGACTGGCTTGTGGTTTGTGGTCTTTCCTTTCCTCCAAACAGTCATGTCCTCTTTGCCCCAGATCAGCTCAGGGCAGTTTCTGGTTATGGTCTGCTCCATCTGCATGAACTATTGAAGCCTGGACAAGTGCACTTAAATGAACAAACCAGAAATGTCCTAGTGTCTTCCCCAAGCCTCAGTCGTCACTTCTCAAGGTTTTATGGTATGATATGTGCATACCACAGAACGTGCCAGCAGCTGGCAGCACCAAAGGGTGCGGGAGCCAAAAAAGATGACACAGACTCGATCATGTCTGTCACTGCACACTCTAATCCTGGCATAGTATTCACAGCACCCACACTCCCATGCATCCCCCAACCAAGGATGCATGAGGATTTAGGCATAGAACCTTGGCTTTAAACTTGTTTAAAGGTTTTCAGCATCTTCTTCCACACTCCTGTGCCCAAGGCAGGTGACTCAGTACGGATATGGGAACTTAGTTTTTCTGCGTGTAAACCAAACTTGTGAAATCCCCTACAAAGTATTCTGCTAGTCTGTGTGCAGAAGCTCATTTTTGTGTTTGTTTTTGAGTTGGAGTCTCACTCTGTCACCCAGGCTGGAGTGCAGTGGCATGCTCATGACCACCACAGCCTCAGCCTGCTGGGCTCAGGCTAACCTTCTGCCTCAGCCTTCCAAGTAGCTGGAATTACAGGCATGCACCACCACACATGGCTCATTTTTCAATTTATTGTAGAGACGAGGTCTCGCCAAGTTGCCCAGGCTGGTATCGAACCCCTAAACTCAGGCAGTCCTCTCGCCTTGGCCTCCCAAAGTGCTAGTATTATAGGCTTGAACCACTGTACCTGGCCCACAATTTGTTTTAAAGATGACTGAAACACTGTCGCAAAAAGCTCCTCAGAATCATAGAGTGAGAGATTTTGAACATTATGTCGGGTTGATGGCTAACCAGCCTGAGGAGAATACCTGTGGATATTTGAGAAATTAAGTTTATCAATGCAAAACAATAACCTCAGCAGCTCAGGGAGCCTCTCTCAGGTGCACTCCCTTCCAGACGGGTCACCATGTGATCCCCCAGTTTCTATATACTGAGAATATTTGTAAGAAATAGTGTAAGTCTTAACTCTTTCTTTTGTTTCTCTTTTAAAAGCTTTTCACAAATGCCAACCAGTTCAGTGAAAGATGAGACCAATGACAACATCACGATATTTACCAGGATCTTGGATGGGCTTCTAGACGGCTACGACAACAGACTTCGACCCGGGCTGGGAGGTGAGTGTGCACTCCTCCACCGAGCTTGGTGAAAACAGGAGCCGTGTACACCCAGGCCCAAGCTTGCATTGATTCAGACAAGTCCTCAAAGAGCTTCCCTGCGAGGATTTAGAGTTGATGGTTTTCCACCTTGCCAGGATCCTGCACCCTTCACCGTCACTTTCTAGATGCTAGGGGCAGTGGTCTCCGTAAAAGGTCCCTGCAAACTTCCTTCTTCCCTGATGATCTTAGCATCCTTTCTGGTTCACTTAGGGAGGAACTGGCTCTTAGATGTTAAAAGCTAAGCTTACCTTATGTTAAGAAATCATACATCCTCAACCTCTTATATCTGTGCATGTCCTTTTCGAAAGTCCACTGGATGCAATTGTTCACTACATCTTTATACGTTATATGTTTAACTTTTCACTGTGGATATAGTCATAGTATTTGCCTCGATTCTGTGGAAGACAATTAGGATTGCAGACTGTGCGTCCAGGGCACACCTGGCACAGCTAGTTTCTGCGCTGGGAATCATGTGCGGATTCTAGGCAGGTGCAGGTTCATCAGCTCTGACCAGTTCAGGTGTGGTGTATTTGGACTTGCTTTGTTGGGTGAGGTAGGGACCCTTCAGCAAATGCAGTCTTGGAAGGAAAAGTTTAGCTCTCCTCCAGTATTTGCGTTTTTAACAGGGAGCTTCCGTTGATGAATCACATCCTCAGCCTCTGCATCTGGCAGTTGGGTCCCTGGAGCACACCCAGAAGGGTCAAGGCCTCTTCAGACAGCTGAACTGCTGTCAGTTTCTGTGTTCTCTCATTTCCTGGCTTCCAGTGTGTGGGGTGGGAGGACATCACAGAGAGTCCAGGCCCACCCTGTGGAGGCCCGCTCTCAGGGACACCACACAGCACAGAGCATCACACAAACACCTGCCCGCACACAAATACACACCAGGGAACAGATGAGCCCATGCAGCGATGCCCGATGAGTGGTTTGAGGTCATTCAGGGCCCTGAAACGCACTCTGAATGTGGGGCTGCAGGGCATGGTGGTGCCCAGGGAACACAAAGATTCCCCCGTAGTACTGTTAGCCACTTCTATCACTTTATACAGCTCCAGTAATTTGACCGAGATAGTAGTGTCCCATAATGTGGGTTTCTAACAGTTGAGAAAGCCCTACAAAAGGCAGGGAGTCTTCCTTCTCGAGCCCGTCTCCAAGATACACTGGGGGCACTTCTCATACATTATTTCCCTGGAGACTTCCCCTTTTGACTGGAAATTCCTCCAAGCTGGTTCACCTCCTCTGGAATTGTCCAGATCTTCCTAAAGCCGCTATTCATGGGGGAGGGGAAGGTTCTGTGCTCCAGGTTTACAGAGGAGGACACTGTGGAAGCACCCAAGACCCCACAGCCTGAACTCAGCCCACGTCTGTGAAGGGGTGGAAACACCACCAGACCCCAGCTGCTTTCTTTCAGTGATGGACGTTTCCTTTCATATTGTGGTTGGGGGTGGTTGGGCTGCATGTGTCATTTGCCAAAGTCTCTAGACTCGCCAGGTACACTGCAAAAGGTCCAGGGTGCAGGGGTTTGGTTGCTAGACTCAGAGCATGGGGCGAGGCATACAAGTTGGGGGCCTGTCTGTGTTTCAGAGCGCATCACTCAGGTGAGGACCGACATCTACGTCACCAGCTTTGGCCCAGTGTCCGACACGGAGATGGTAGGTCCTGGCATAGCCTGCACACAGTTCTGAGTCCTTGGGACCTGCAGGCCCTGCCCTCCTGACACCGCCCCTGCCTCCCTCTGCACTAGGAATACACCATAGACGTGTTTTTCCGACAAAGCTGGAAGGACGAACGGCTGCGGTTTAAGGGGCCCATGCAGCGCCTGCCTCTCAACAACCTCTTGGCCAGCAAGATCTGGACCCCGGACACTTTCTTCCACAACGGGAAGAAGTCTATCGCGCACAACATGACCACACCCAACAAGCTGCTGAGGTTGGAGGATGACGGCACCCTGCTCTATACCATGCGGTGAGCCTGGGGTATGCCGTGGGGCGGGGGGCGGGCCAGGGAACTGGAGGTGGGGCAGCAAGGGCAGGAGGGCAGCACAGGGCAGGGGGCAGCGCAGGGCACCCTGCTCTGCACCATGCAGGGAGCCCGGAGGTGTGTCCCGGGGCAGGGGACGGGGCCAGGGAACCAGGGGCAAGGGCAGGAGCAGCCCAGGGCAAGAGGCAGCACAAGGCAGACACGGCTTCCATCCTGCTCCAAGGGCCCTGCAGCTGGCCTGTGCCTAGGATGGGCCGAGGCTGGGTGGCCTGTGTCAGAGACTTTCCACCTGGTGAATTGCCCCGTACTGTCAATGCTCAGAGACATGCCTTCCTTCCACGGCTGCCTGTGGACTGGTACTTATTTATTTGGTTCAAACTCAAGGTCATCTTTGGAATACCATTCAGATAATGTCAGTTAGTGAAAAGCAAGTTTATAAAAACTGATTTAAAACATCAAGGGTCATCTTTTTTGGTTACAACTGTGCAGCTTTCACAAGTTTTAAAAGCCCATTTCTCATATGCTTTGCTAATATTTCTATGCTGAGGTTAAATTTTAGTATTTCTAATTTAAAGTGATGACTGGTCATTATTTAAAATTCTGAATTATTCATTGTTCTGGAATAAATCAATAAATTGACTAGTGAGAAAGTCTGTTTTATAGCTTTTCAAAGTTTCCATGATGGGTCTAAGTAGGTTTCAGAATTTTTTTTTTAAAGTACTCAAGCCAAGTTTTTTTTAAAAAGTGCATGCATTTTGTGTAGGTATTATTGGAATTTCTCTATCTTGCTGCTATTTTTTTTTTACAGTAAACCTTATATTTAAAAGAAGTAAACAGTGGAAAATAATATTAATGCTATCCTCAAACATGTTCTGAGGAGTACTTTAACATGCTATGTCCTGTCAGTTAAAGGGGAAAACATCAAGTTTTTGAAGCTACTTTTCTTCAGCAGTCTTACTGAGTGAGGACTGTAGACTGAAGCTGTGTCTCCAGGCCCAGTCGACGGCTCTGTAGACAAGCCGTGTCAGACCATTCTGGCATGACGTTGAGCCCACAGCTGCATGCAGGTGGTGGAGGGTCAGCACGTCAGAGCCACATCAGTTTGAGTGTAAGGCCATGTCTAGCTATGGATTGCAGAGGCAGTCTTACTAATCCTGTCAGCCCTTGTCTTATGTGTGGGAAAGGCGGGGACTAGGGTTGTTCATCTTTGCAGGAACATAGTGACTCAGGCAAGAGACATGGGGGCATGTGTGTCCTGTTTTGTACTCAGAGCATCCCTCTGGCCAGCTGCTTGTCACAGCCTCAGGGGCTTGTGAAATCATGCTGGCAAGCAGAAATGAGCATGTGTGGCCTCTTCCATCTGCTGCTGTGTCTCACAGTCTTAGACCTGTGTGACAGCAGGACTTGATTCTTCTTGTAACAACCCAATAGACGCTGTGATGAGTGAGCCTGGAACACTCACGTGGCGTGTCCATCCATTCCCCATGCTTTCCCTTTCCTTCCATTGATCTTGAGCACATTTTGCCCATAGATGGAGGCTTGAGGTATGGCCATCAGAGTCCTTGCACATTGCCTTGTGGGTGCAGAAAATGCTGAAAAGCTGAGAAATACTGCGGGGGTTGAGGATAAGTTCTGGGCCTGGAGAGGAGGCGAGTGCAGCCCCAGCCCTGTGAGCGGAGAACTGGTCAGTGTGGGACCAAGACAGTGTGTCGAGGGGCTGGGGCTTCACACGGGGCTGGCATGAACGACTAGTTGTGGCTTTTGTGGAGACACCTGTGTTTTGTTCATAGAGTAGAAATACTCTCACCCTCATGGACTTACTGTCCTTGACTCTCATCCTGAGAGACTGTCGTTAGTCCTGAGCCCAAAAGCCTCTCACAAAGTGTGTGGTTTTAATTATCGATGGTGGTGTGCTGGGCTGTCTCATCTGGCGCCTTGTTGCCCCAGTAGAGGGGGAGCCAGGTTGTTTAGGGGGGAGATGGCAGGGGAGGGGCCTTCTTCTGACTGCTGTGTGTATCAGGCAATGTTTCAGACACAGGATCATTCAGTCCTCAGACAGCCCTGCCTGGTGGGTGACCGGGGATCCTTATGGGACAGAGCGTGAGGCTCAGAGACATTTGGCAGTCAGCCCAGGGCCTCACAACTAGTGACGAGGACAGGAATCGGAACTCAGGTCTGAGCAGTGCCCTTGCTTAATCCACCACCTTTGCAAATTGAAGGGACACAGCATTACTAGAACTAGAGTGGCCTTCTGTGAGTGCCATGCCCAGGGGACACACCGGGGGGGTGGGGAGCCCATGGTGTCTCGTCAGCAGTACTGAGAAGCTGGTTGTGCAGGGCATCTCTAAGGAGCTGCGGTGTTGAGAACAAGTCTTCTTTTTCAGTAGTCCACAATATTGGGCAGGTGGAAGTGGTTCCGCTTCCAAGTACTGTGAATTTTAATAAAAGGTTTCAGCTTTTCTGCTCAACGTGGCCTCCAGTCAGGCCCTGTGAGGCTGATGGGGTCCTTTGACTCAGTCAGGTCACTTCCCCATCGTCTCCATCTTAAGGAAAGACTTGGGATGCAAACTGAGCCATGCACAAAGGTGCCAACGTCATTCATGATTCCAAATATCAGAAGAAATAGAAACACTTGGTAAATTTTTCAAACAGAATTGTGTCTTTGAATTACTTTTCAGACTTTGGACCTGATTAAAAATATAAAACATGAAAGGGTGAAAGGATAGAACAAATTAGGATTTGTGGGATGTCCTTTGACCAAAGACAAACATCTAGAAATGTTTGGAAAGGGTCAGTTATCATCTTCTAAAAGTAATACCATGTTATTGCACTTCAACAGAATTTTTTTTTGAAGGTAGGATTTATTGAGAGGACAGAAAAGCTCTTAGAGCAGAGGGGGACCCGAGGAGGTTGCCTGAATATAATTTGCTTTTAAAACTCCCTTTTCTTTTTAGGCGACAATAATTGTCCACATGTATGGGATATGAAGCAATGTTTCTGTATGTGTACACAGTGTGTAATGGTCACATCAGGGTAATCAGCATCTCCATTGCCTCAAACTTTTATCATTTCTTTGTGTTGTGAACATTCAGAATATTCTCATCTAGTTTTTAGGAAATATTCAATAAATTATCATTTACAACATTTTCTGGAAAATCCTTACCATGCTCCACAAATCCTTTAACTTAGTATTCAGAGATAGACACAGTTGGACAAGTTGGAATTCTTTACAAAGGTGGTTCAGAAGAACCCATGGACAGGTGAGCCCTGATGTCATTTGCCTCTGATGTCATTTGCTCCCAAGTGTCTGTCAAAAGGCCAAAGGCCCTTGCCTGGAGCTGATCTACGAAGTTAGTTCTGAAGAACTTTCTGCCACCAATGGGTCATCCATTCACAGAGTCTTACAGATAAAATCCACCAGCTGCTCAGAATAATCCCAAAGAGAGTGGCAAGCACTTCCCATGGGATCCTCAAAAGGACATGTATAAAGTACTGGACACGTTTTCAAGGTCATCCTTTCAAGAGTGCCCTGTTTTGTAGTCCCAGAGCTGTGCTTCCAGCATGAGACAAGAGGTGGATCGCCTCTAAAGGAACTTCAGTCGAGCAGTTTCTTCCTGCCAGGCATTTTTTTTTACAAGGCTGGAGAGGTCCGGGGTCTAGACAGATGACTGTCCTCCTGGCCAACCTCCATACTTTTTTCTGGGCCTAGCAGTGGGTCCCAACTCCCCTCCAGATAAGCCTGTGCAGTACAGGTGGCCACATCTCTCAGGGAGCATGCCAAATCTTATGTATATATTTATTTTATAACATTGCAAGTTTGCAGGCAATGTCTCCCCTTCATCTCCCTTTCTCTCACACCCTCTAAAAGTGGAAACTCTTGTGAGAACACACAGCGAGGGCTGCCGTAGGGATTATTCCCCTGGCAGGTTCACCCTTAGCCTCTTGTGTAGGAAACCGCTGCAGGTGAGGCAGGCGCTGCTAGCAGTTCTCCACCGAGATGACTTGCCATCCTGTGTGATGGAAAGATCCAGAAAATGTTTTAGAATGCTGACAGTGTCACCCCTAGGGTAGAATACTCTGTCTGGAGTAAGGTAGCACTCATGGACCAAGTCACTCATGGAGCATGGTCTCCTTTGCACAATGAGCTTTCCCTGTGCTGTTCTAACTTGGACATGTTTCAGGAATGTTTACAATCCACTTAAGTTTTCATCATTAGTGGAAAACACTACCTTGAGTTGAGGATATACAACACAGTGAAAAGATCATAGATTTGGGGGTTAGACTGACTTAAATTCAAGTCCTGACTATCATTTAGTGGCCATGAGTTCTTGGTCATTCTATTTTAATCTCCAAAAGTCACACTTTTGTTTCATTTTTTTAGTTTTTGGCTTTTAGCTTTTCTTTCAATACAGTATAGTTGCAGAGTCTGAGACACACTTTTATTTTGAAAACTGCTGGTAAATACACATATTCCATGAATGGCCACTGGGGGACAGCATTGACACATTTTTGCTGCAGGATTGACTGAGCATTCATTAAATAGCAACTATTATAACAGGTGACTTGAAGGAAATTACATGTATACATGTTTGATTTGTAATGTATTTGGAGGAAATTATAATAAATATCTGGAAGTTTTGAATTAGACTCTGAGATGGGCTGGTATATACGTACAAGAATATATACCTGTCCATATGCATACTGGTGTCTAGTTCAAAACTTCTGTATGAAACCAACACAGATATATTGACCAACTCTTGGCAATTGTTAATTTATATTAACAAGAATAAAAATATGATTAAAAAATTTTAAAATATGGAAAACCTCAAAGTATGAAATACAGTTATGATAACACTAAGAAAAAAGAGAATCACTGTTAATATTTGTTGTGTATCATGTACAGTAAGTTCCCTACATATGAACCTTCAAGTTGCGGACTTTCAAAGACACAAATATTCATTTGCATGTCCAGTCACATAAGTTAC